TATCTGTTTATTTTAGTAAGTCTCTTCACTGTTTTTCAATAATATTTTTGTATCTTCCAACTTCACATGTAATATATGGTCCTTTTAGACAAATGAGAAAATAAATATAAGCACAAAGGGGGAAAATCCCATAGTCCTGCCTTCTACTCTTGTTTTTTGTTTTTTTTTGTGTGAGGAATCCAAATTTATTTCAGTAAGGTGAAACAGATGGCAACTAAAAATCACTCAACTGTAATCCTAATTAATTTGAAAGTTCAATTTGCTGCAAAGCAAGCTGGTATGTTTATTTGTCGCTTGAAAAATCAAGTTTTAAAATAAATATGAAAGTAAAATGACACATAAATGATTTTTCAAGGAGTTGCCTTGTTTTGCTAAACCTAGTTATTGATTGCACGCTTCGGTTTTTTTTTTTTAAATCAATATTTTTTATTATGATGTTGTGAGGTACAGTTAAGGGTTAGGTATACAAATATGCTTTCATTTAGGCCCCCTTGTTTACTCTTGTTTAGTGCATCCTTGTAGGACTTTAGGCAAGATTCTTAACCATGGAACCTTGGTTTCCTCAGCTTCTCATCTGTAAAATGGGAATAATATTAGAATCTACCTCCTAGGATTATGACGAGGACTAAGTAAAAGTCCACATAAAGAGCTTAGCAGGCCAGATGCAGTGGCTCATGCCTGTAATCCCAGCACTTTGGGAGGCAGAGGCAAGAGGATTATCTGAGCCCAGGGGTTTGAGACCAGCCTGGGCAATTTGGCGAGACCTCATCTCTACAATAAATTTAAAAATTGTGCTGGGCATGGTGGTGGGTGCTTGTAGTCCCAGCTACTTGGAGAAGGCTATGGTGAAAGGATTGCCTCAGCCCAGCAGTTTGAAGCAGTGGTAACCATAAGCATGTCACTGCACTCTAGCCTGAGTGACAGAGTGAGACTCCAACTGAAAAAAAGAAAAAAGAGCTTAGCAGCAGCATGCCCACCCAACACATAATAAGCACATAGATGGGGATGATATAGATGATTTTGTCATTCTTTTTTGAATACAGACCTCACATCCTAAGTGACTTGTAAATCATCTTGGGGTTGACTTGCGAAGTGCACAATCGTTATTGGGAGTTTCTTCCCTAATCAGTAGGCTTCTCATCGAGATAGAACATACATTTGCATTTGCAGAACGTAACATGGGACTGCATGGACTGACTGTGCCCTCCCTCTCTCCAGGTGAAGAACATCATTTACCATGCTGTGAAAGATGCTGTTGGCACCCTCAAGGCTCATGAATCCAAACTGGCAAGGTCTTAGGCATGGAGGAATTCCAGACTCCCCTGTGAAGCAGGTCTTTCACTCACAACACTTACAGGGAACGGCGGGGATCTCTGCTGGAGCAGAGGCCCTTTACCCAGAGCCAGTGTGGTCAGTATTACAAACTCTCCAGCCACTCTATTCTATGCTGCCTCAACACCGAAGGTTGACACAGGAAAGTCGCACTGTTCACACACACAGTTTCAGACTCCAAGCCAAGGGTGCCACATCCCCATCCCATGGTCTTTTGGGAATCAGAATTGCCTAAACATCGCTGGGCTTTCCTGCACATACTCCTGAATTGAGATTCTTGGACCAGGAATGTGGGCACACCTTTCTTTTCTTTTCCTCTTGTGCCTAGTTAAGTGGGAATGTGTTTAGAGGTAGGGGAAGCACATAACTGGTACAAGTAGGGGTACCTGCTTCAACATGCCTGATGGAAGCCTGATGGAGTCTCTGCATATGACCTCTGACTGGGCCTATCCCAGGAGACGGGTGAAGCTGTTCCCACCCTCTCCCGTGAACACTGGAGTCTTGCAGGACCCAGGGAGAACCCACTGCTTTTTCCAGGAGGCTCCAGGATTAGGAAACGTGTGTATTTAGTGAAAAATAGGTTTGTAGTGAAATAGTTACTATTTCATGAAAGTAGATATTTTTAGAATTTTTGAAATACCACAGTTGTTTTCCTGGATTATGAGGAAAGGCACATTACGTTTAGTCTTCCTTTCGATAAAACTCTTTGAAGAATATGATTTTTAGAAATCAGCTGCCCATTATAGCACAAAATCAGCCAAAGCAGAATTTTAAAAAATTGGCTTTTTAGGATTCTTTTAGTTTCTCCCCCTCCCATCTTAGTCTTACCTTGAGGGAACAGTCATCTGAGAAGGAACTTTGTCACGTCTGAGCTGTGGTGTGTCCCCACATGCACACACTGGCGACTCCAGGAACCATCTTCACCTATTACCAGCGTTCCCTGGGGACTCCTCTTACGTTTCCAAATGGGAAGGACAGTTTGATTTCCAACATGAGGTTCTTTGTTTTGTGTCCAGAAATATTTTCAACAAAACTTTCCAACTCAGTGGAGTTTTATTAAGAATTTATTTGAAAATGATGGAATTCATTGGCCCATAGGTACATTGGGAAATGTATCTCTCTCCAGCTGTACTGTAGTGCCCTGCAGGCTTGTTTATATGTTCACAGTTACTTTTTTTTTTTAATAAAAGTCATTTACTGTAGAATACTTTTAATTTCACTTTCTGTATTTTAATTTTGTTGAAGGGCTGATTGGGATTTCCATGTTCTTATTAAAAATCTAACAAATCTGTTTGGAGTGGACTAAATTCTTCTCAGACAACTCTTCTAAAGTCAAAGTGAGATTGAGGACTGGGTTGGAGGTGGGGGATTCATTTCTAGGTCTGTATTACTGAGCTGCACCCAATTATTATTATTTGCTTCCTGAACTTGTGCCCAGTTGGGAGAAAGTAAAGTTTCAGGGTGAGACCAGTGTGGTTTGGGGACTTGGGGTGAGGGGGAAGGGGCCACATGAGTTAAAAGGTTGGGGGGAGACAGGTTTCCCTATAGCTTATGTTCTGTAGATGGAGTGGAAAGGGCAGAGTCTGGGGGGGATGGACCATGGTGTGTGGCCAAAGCAAAGTTTTGGGCAGTTATTGGTGGAATTACTCAAAGCAGGCCTGGCTGCCCACATATGAAACACGTGGCCCTAGGTCCACCTTCGAAGAGGTGGGAGAAGGCCCATTTGGGATTTATTTGTGTTGATCAAGCAGCAATTAAAGTGTCTTGAGCTGAGAACAGACTGCATTCCAATTAGAAGAGGCCTTTTGGGGGAGGAAGTTGTAAAGAATAGCAAGAGGGCATCAGAGGCTGCTTCTCTGGAACCTTTTGGAAAACATCTTCCAAAGCATTTGAGCCTGGAAATATAATTATCAGGTTGGAAATAGACCATTGTGTGGTTCCAGGATCTGAGTTTGAATAAGACCATGACTCTTTGAAATACAGAGCTCTGAATATGTCCTTTCAGTCTGGATGGGCACGGGGTTGATGCTGTGGTCACCAGAAGGATTACACTTCAACATAAAGGATAGAGGAATGCAGGAGCCTTAAAATGGGGCAGGAAAGGAGAGCAAGTGGGGGTTGGCTGGAGCTTTGGTGAAAATCAGGAGGCGGGCTAGCCTACATTCTGTATATAAATGTCCTCAGAATTAGGACATCCACTGCCACTAGTACTTGCTGAATGGGCGCCCCTGGGCCCATATCTGACCTGGGTCCCAGGCCCCTCTCCCAGCCCATCTGTTTGAAAAGAAGGTCTGGTACCTTGTGGGTGGTATCCACGTTAAGAGCACCAAGTTCTGTTCACCTGCAAAGCTTGGGAAATAACAACCTAAAAAAGCAGACCAAATGACCAGGAAGGAAGGTCCCCTTGCAACTGGGGTGAGTGGTGGTTGTTGAGAAGGGGTAGGGTGGACAGGTGCCCAGGAGTTCAGGTGGATGTCTTCATGGGGCCTGTGATGGGGTTGGGTGTTGGCTAGTCAGCAGCTGGGGGATGTAGCCTATTTAGCGTAGACTTCTGGAGTCGTATTTTAGCAGCAGGGCTTAGTGATTCTGTAGACCCTCAGCAAATTATGGAGCCGCCCTAAGCTTCCCATTTCCTTATCTTCCAATGGGGTTCATTATAGCCTCTGCCTTACAGGGTGGTGGAGAGCATTCACTGAAATGACGCCTGTGACGCTCTTGGCGCAGGCAGTGTGGCACACAATAAGCCCACGAGGAGGGCAGGGCAGAAGGCGAACTGGGCTGACTGCACGGTGGAGCCGTGGAGGCCTCCTCGACCTCAGCACCGAAACCCAAGAAAGGTGCTCAAGCGATCGGAGGCCGGCAGGGCCCGGAGGGTCGGAGGCGCGTGCCCGGCCACAGCAGGTGCGGGGGGCGCGCCGCCGCGACCTCCCCTTTAAGAGGCGCCACCGCCCACGGCCCGCCGCTGCGGCAGGGACC